CGGGTCTTTTGGCCTTCCTTCTTGCCGCTGCACAGTTCAGCATACGGGGTGTAAGGATTCTGGAGACGAACTATCTCGACTACGATTTTCCATTCATCATCAGTAAGCTCATTATCCTGAACCTGCTCTATTTCTTGTACTACTACCATAAACGCGCCTCTGGATATAGCCAACCTTCCCAAAATGGCACCGATGAAGCTCCAACCATATCTCCCGAGGGAATGGTCGCCATCACCAGTTCGCTACACCTTCCAGTGGATTCGATCAGATATGTACACTTTGATGGGAATGCTAGCATCGTCTACACCGATTGCGGCAACCATGTGACCATGCAGACACTGAATGCCATACACGAAATATTGGGCAATGAGCAGTTTTACCGCCTAAGAAGGAACATGATCGTAGGCCGAAGGGCAATTACCGAAATCCGTAGACAAGGAAGGGATATATTGGTTTCATTGGAACCGCCGTTCGATGAAGAACTGCGTATCAGCAAGACTCCCAAGGCCAAATTCCTACAATGGTCTTCCAAAGGCGCGTCCCGTTCATAGGAGGCCTGTTCCATTCATCGCCAAAAACGTCCCGTTCGGCAAAAAATAGTTCCCGTTCATTTTTTTAGCTTCCCAAAAATTTCAGGTGGATAGGCCGTGCCTATAGTTTTGGCTGTACCAAATCAAAAGCCATGACGTCTCTCTGTCCACATCACCATTTTTATTCTGGGCTACCTCCTTAGCCATGATGGCTACATCATGAGGCCTATGCTAACCTATAAATCTAAAAATTAACCTAAAATTATGAAACGAATTACCATTATAGCGGTCATGCTGATCGCTACGGGCGTAGTATTCTTCGCCTGTAAAAAGTTCAACAATGATTCTGGAAGATTTGGCGCTGACAGAACCTCGGCAAGGACTGGAGGAGAATTTGGCCTGTTGACCGTAGGCTGTTACCAGACCCTACCGGCTACCATTTCCGCCAACCGTACACTGAGTGCAGATAGTGCCTATCTGATCTCCGGCTGCGTGAAGGTGACCAACAATGCCGTACTGACCGCTCCTGCGGGAACGGTATTCCTTGGACAGAAATCCACCAACGGTACGCTGATCATCGAGCGTGGTGCCAAACTGATTGCCAATGGGACCTCCAGCAATCCGGTGGTCATGACCTCCGATCAGTCGCCCAGCAACCGTGCGCCCGGAGACTGGGGGGGATTGGTCATTCTTGGAAAGGCAAACAACAACTCATCATCGCCATCTGCTGCGGTCATCGAAATCGATCGTGCCTGCGGTACCCTTACTGCAGGAGCCGTGAGCGGTGTTACTACAGACAGTGATGACAGCGGTTCTTTGAGCTACCTGCAGATCCACTATGCCGGTGGCAATGTATCGGGGGATGAATATCCATCGGCCCTATTGCTTGCCGCTGTGGGTAGCAATACGGAGATAGACCATATCCAGATCACCAATTCACGCAAAGATGGCATGATCGCCTTGGGCGGCAATTTCAACTCCAGTTATATTGCCAAC